TGAGTGACCACGAGGAAAATATTGTTGGTGATGCAAAGCTCCCATAATTGGATGGCAAGGTTGCAGAGGCGTAGGGAAACAGTGCCTCCCTGTCTGTTGACATAAGAGAGTGCCGTGGTGTTGTCCGTGAGGACCGTGACACATTTTCCCTTGATTAAAGGTAGGAAGCTGGTGACTGCGTGTTGTATAGCCAGGAGCTCTAGGAAGTTTATGTGTCGCTTCCTCATCTGCGCGTCCCATTTGTCTCCAACAGAGAGTCCCATGGAGTGTGCATCCCATCCTGTCAGGGAAGCATCCGTCATTATGGTGACTTCGGGTTGGGAGATTTATGGTCAGGAGAGGTATGAGCCTCAGATGTTTCTGTATCCGAGTCTTCCTCCATGGAGTCAGAGGAGTCCTCGTGTAGTATTTGGACCAAAGTATCCTCTTGACAGGCTATGGGTTTTGTTGGAATGACAGGGTTTGGAGTGACCTGAGGATTGGGAGGATGACTTGGTTCCATACCATGGTGGGAAGGATCGTCTGCAGGAGGACAAGACAGAGATGCTGAAGGTCTGGACTTGTGGGGCGACCTCGATCTGTGAACAGAGTGGGACGAATAGCGATCCCAATCAGAATAGCCCGCCGGAGTCAACCACGGCATGGATGGTGGATACGCCCCGTTCCGGTACCTCAACTGTCGTGCACACTGAATCCCATGGGTGTGAAGCACAGAGACCATGTTGAAGATCTGCTAGCATTAGAGAATGAAGATCATAAACCAAAGGCCTTTTTTGAAAAGTCCTCCTGGTAATTAAATGTTCCTCCGGTCTTCCTCCTCACTACCCCACATTCATTCCAGGGCTCTGTGCAGATATGCTTTTAGATGTATTTATGCAGCCCTGGCTTTTTAAAATTCAGCACTAGCTAAAACACGACACAGTTGGTGGGTCCAAGTTAAGGAACGGCAGAAATAAGAAGGCTGAGTCCTGCCGCACCATTCAAGGTAGGCGCTTATCTATGAATCCAGAGGGAAAGCCTTATTTGTCTACTGTAGCAAATAAAACAGAACTCCAGTGGTATCTTAAAGACTAACAACATTGGCTCTAGCATGTGCTTTTGTGACACAGAGCTCACTTCTTCGGATGCTTATTAGGAATCATTTATAAATCAATCAAAGGAGGAGACAGGAGAAAGAATGAACTGGGAGTTGAGAGGCTTGGTGTTTTGTCATAAATCTTTCTGGTGTGATTCCCAGTATAAGGGACTGGAATAGATTTTGTTGTTACTCATAATGTATGAGAGGTCTGAGGTTCCAGCCATGACCTAAATAGCCCAGGCTAGCCCAATCTCATCAGATCTTGGAAACTAAGCAGGATTGGCCCTGGCTAGTATTTAGATAGGTGACCTCCAAGGAATACCATGGGTGTGATGCAGAGGCACGCAATGGCAAACCGCCTCTGAAATGTCTTTTGCCTTAAAAACAAGTCTAGCTTGCCACCTGGTGGTGCATAATGCTAAAAGAGCTAGAACTTCCAGCCGCCATACAATGAACTAAAGAAGCAAAGCCAAGATTTGCATAGATGGGTTATTTAATGAAGAAGTGAGATTTACTGTAGCAGCTCCCTCTATGATGCAATTTCTTCTTTAAGAAAGCCTCCCCCCATCACAAAGAAACATCAGGAAGAGTAGAATATGTGGTTTTACATCTGCATTCCCAGCTTCAGTCCCAAACATCTCCTGGCAAGAACAGGCCTGGGGTGGAGGGTAGGGAGAGAACTCTCCTCACACTGCTGCTAGCCAGGGTAAGACAGTGCTGGGCTTTGTGAAAATTGCTTGTTTCTCTATAAAGCTCTCTATGTTTAGGAAGTGCAGGAACAATTCTGGTTTAGACAGGCCCTGAGGGCCAATGCGGTGTAACAGCTGAGCAACAAAATATATAATTCCCCTATCACCATGATTTCACCAAGTGACTTCAGGCATGCAGCACATTCTTAGCCCCACATATGCAACACAGCAACAATACAGACTCCACCTTACAGTGTTGTTGTAATAGTTACTGAAATGTTGTGAAGTGCTTTCCAGTGTTCCAGTGAGTTGTTTCCCCCTTGCAACTGTGTGTGTTGAGATTGTTGGCTTTGTTCACAAAGGCAGAATATCCGTATAAATATTTTAGAGATGGTGAAACAGCTACTTAAAAAACAACAGCACCAAGTCTCCAAGAACAGTTATGAAAAAGCCACCTTCCCTGGGGCTTTCAATTCAGTCTCATCATGCCCTCTAGTGACTATCAGCTGCTGCTGCAGCAAGATGAATTTGCTGAAAGTCTGTCCAATATCCAGGGATGTTGACACAATTCCAAGCTCCTGATGCCAAAAAGGAGACGTACTCCAAGCTTAAACTCCCCAACACCATCACAAAAAGCTTGCAAAGACTGCAACTGAAATCAGTCAATCCAATTCATAACCAGTGCAGCAGAGCAAAAGACCTTTCCCAAGCTCAAAAATCTGAGTAAGAACATTTTCTGGAAACATGGAAAAATCATTGAGTGCTGGCCTTAAACAGCTGTAAGGATTTGAAATGTAGGATAATAAGTTTATACAGCAATTTTACTGGCTGTGTGGATGCCACAAGATCGTTCAATAACAGACTGGAGCACTGAATATAGACAAAACCCCATAACATCGTCTAGCAGGGCAGATTAAAAACTTTCTCTGAATATTGAGTTAAAGAAGGCCTGAAAATAAAATTAGTAAAGGTAAAGGTTTCCCTTGCTTGAAAGCCAGTCGAATCCGACTCTAGGGATGCGGTACTCATCTCCGTTTCAAAGCCGAAGAGCCAGCGCTGTCCGAAGACGTTTCCGTGGTCATGTGGCCGGCATGACTAAACACCAAGGCGCACAGAACGCTGTTACCTTCCCACCGAAGTGGTACCTATTTACCTACTTGCAATTTCTTGCTTTCAAACTGCTAGGTTGGCAGGAGCTGGAACTAGAGATGGGAGCTCACTCCATCATGTGGCACCCAGGTCTCAAACTGCTGAACTACTGACCTTCCACAGCCTGCAGTTCAGCGTCTTAACCACTTGAGCCACCACAGTGCCGAAAATAAAATTACTAGATATCTAAAGTAGTTGTATTCTTTGGGGGGGAAAATCCTAGTGTTCAGGTGGACTCTGAATGGTGAAGACATTTAACAAGTGAACAGCCGAGAGGCAGTTCAGTTGGGGCTCTTTTGGGTGTCCCTTTAAACCAGAGTGCCCAAGAGCTTGCCAAGGAGCCGGTCCTGCGGGGAGAAATCTCTCCGCAGGTATGGCTGGGGCTCAGCAGGGCAACCCAGTTTAAACTGGGCTGCCCATCAGAGCCCACCCAGGAGCTGATCGTGTGTGGAGAACTCTCACTGTAGGTTCTGCTGGGCAGCCCAGTTTAGATCAGACTGCCCAACAGAGCCCACCCAGGAGCTGATTCTGTGGGAATTCTACCCACAGGCCGGCCTGGGGCTCTGCTGGGCAGCCCAGTTTTGCCAGTAATTCCTGAATGTATCTTGGGGGGGTTTTCGTGGATTTTCCCCCGGTTCTCCTGAAAAATCCCAGATACATTTGGGAAGCCAAAATGTACCTCAAAAATACTGATAAGGTGATTTTTGGATATATTTTCGGTTCGGGTAGACCCGAATTTTTAGCTTCCAATTTATGGCAACCCTATGAATTAATGACCTCCAAAACACCCTATTGTGCCAGTAGGCACCATGGCACCAATCAAGCATTTTTAGGAAGTGGGCAGGGCCAGGTGGGGCATTTCTCTAGCAGGGCTTCTGATTGACAAAATAGTGGTGGGAACTATGTTCCAGCTCCTGTTCAAGTTTTTTTAATTAAAAGTTGTCCCAATTATTCTCTATGAATTGTGTCAGATTGTTTCAGTTGATGAAAATATTTATTTATTTATTTCTTACTTCGATTTGATATACCGCCCTAACCCCCGTGGGGGTCTCTGGGCGGTTTACATGTGGGGTGCTAGTCACATTGAACCCTAACTAAGGCCACATTGATTCTATGGGTGGGGCTGCCTACCAGCACCCAGGTGGAAGCTGATGTCTCTTTTGGCTCGGCTGTTCTTTTTTCGGCTCCATTCCCGGCAGCTAGATGTTCTTTTCCTGGCGCTTAGGCAGTCAGGCGGTCTGATACACAGGTGACGTCCTCCTCCGGTCCGGCTGCGTCCTTCAGGCTCCGCCGCGCGCCTTGGATTTACCATTGTCTTTTATTCTTCTTTAGAAAATTATTAAACATTCCTCATTGTGTAGCTGCCATAGCTCTGAGGCAAGGGCTTGATTACAAGCATTTAAGTTTTCATTAAGCTATACTTGACCAGTAAGGGCTATCAGGCACTCTTGAAAATGGACCCTTATAGGTCAATACAGTTTAAGACTCCTGAGTGGCAAGGCAGAACACCTGCACTCTGCATGGCTACCTGCTTTTCCTTTATGACTTTCAGACACAGGGCCGATTGCAAAGGGTCCTGTTCCTCTAACAGTGGAGCCTTCCTCCAGCAGAAGAATGCTCCACAAGAGAAAGAAACCTCCATTAGCAAAACAGAACCTTTGGCTACAGCCCATGGGTCCTACTGTCTTGCTTCCACTTGTGACATGCTGTTCTCCACTAAGGAGGAGGTCCATTACTGTAAGGTGCTAGCAGGTGCCTCCGTTCATGCAAGAGCTCTTTCTTTCAGTGAACCAGAAGAACTTAACAACAGGAGAAGGTACTTTGCAGTGGAGTTCTGCCTCTGCAAGAGCTGAGGAAGTAACGTATGAAATCTAAACCAAACTCTCATCTTCTATAGAAGGACTGGAATAACACAAATTTCTGCAAGCCGAGCAGGCTGCTTATTGAAGATTAAGGGGAAAGCAGATAACTACTGTTATCAATAAATCACTGACATCCATTAAATTTAGAAATTTATTTTGTTTAATCCACAAGCTTTATAATAGCTTTAAGTTTTCTTAAAAAACAAAAACAAAAAACCCCAGTGAGAACATGACAATATCCAAAGTTCAGGTCCTTCTGACTTTGAGAGACCACAGCTCTGAAAGTTGCACACTATTTTGAAGGATCACAACAAGACAAGGAGAGGAGGAAAGAAAACTATGATTGGGGCAACAACATTTCACAGAACGAAACTGTATGCAAAACTTTGCTGAGACTGCTGATCGTGGGAACTGCCTTTAAGAAGGGGTGGTGGTGGGGGAGAAGTTAGGTACAAATGAAATTCCAGTGTTCTAAATAAACCTGTTGCACTACCGTGAACACGCTGTGTTCAGGCTTAAGTAGGTGCCATCTCCAAATTCTAACCTTGGTCTTCAAGCAGAGACAATGCAGGCAACCACAGAAAAACCTGGGGATTCACAAGTGTTCTTGCTAGGGTTTTTTTTTTTAAATGCATAAATAGTGGCTTGCCTCTGTATACAAGACCAAAATTGACTTGTGTCGGGAAGTCAAATTGCAAATGCTTAGGACATTTCCAGGGTGGCAAACCAAGAAATTGAGAGGTCTGTCTCGGGGAGGAGGGAGAAACACTGCATTAAAAAATTATAGTGAAACAGATGTCAGCTGTCAAAGATGTCACTAGTACACTGTGAATGCTTTTCTGTAATGAAGATCCATGCCCTTTTTCTTTTAAACATGGTCAACCTAAGCAATTGTTACAATCAATGTTAAAGTCTAAAGCTCAAACACATTTTAGCAATTTTGAAATTGAAGTCTCAGTACAAACCAAATAAAATGTACATTAGATCAAACTCCTGCTTCAGCCTAAGAGGGCGGAGATGTCTGCGCCTTCCTCATTGACCTCAGTGCTTTCTCACGCAGATGTTTTTCCAAATCATCGAGGTTATCGTCTGGTTCACTCTCAGTCTCCTGAAGACAACAGAAAGCCAGCAATTACTTCCATCATCACAGAATGTGAACCTGAGAGTCATGCGTCAGCGTTTGCCTAATACAAACAGCAAAACTAGAGTTGAGACAAACAGCACCTAGCCAGGAATTCTAGCTGGAAAAATAAGCACTCAGAGGCAATGCTCCCTCTAAGCTGTGGGGTCTTGTGAGCAAAAATTCTACTTTGTGAGCTGGCATTTAAGTTGTGAGCAGACGATTTGGCTACTGCATAAATTAAGTTTGCTCTGGAGCCATCCTTCCTGAGCTAAGACAAAAATGTGTGAGCCGGAGACTAAAAAACTGTGAGCTAGCTCACACTAACTCAGCTTAGAGGGAACACTGCTCAGAGGGAGCTTGGTATCTAGTGTGGTGTAATAATTAAGAGTGTCAGGCTAGGATTTGGGAGACCCAGGTTCAAATCCTCGACTCTGCCATGGAAGCCTGCTTGCCTGTATGACCTTGGGCCAGTCACACACATCCTAACCGAGCTCACAATGTTTGTGGATAAAATGGAGGAGACATCACATAACCTACAGATGTTCAGAGTTCAAAGCCATCAGCATATTCAAACAAAGGTGCTCCTAAACTCTATGGGAACACTGCAAGCTTCATGTCTGATACTACAACAGCTCTTGTATTCTGATGTTTTCCATCTTAATAGCTTGTCACATCAATAACCCCACCTGTCTCCCAATCCCTCACCTTTTTGGGCTCTGTAATTTTCTCTTGGTCTTCTGGCGCTGATGTGGGAAACACAGCCATTGCAGCAGCTGCTGCTGCAGCTTTCTCCTTCTTATGCTTTTTGTGTTTCTTGTGCTTTTTATCTTTTTTATGCTTCTTATCCTTCTTTTTCTTCTTCTTCTTGCCACTGCCTTCCTGATCAGAGTTCTGCAAAGTCAAGCAGCTCATTTAACTCTTGGTTCATGCACAATATTGAACAACAGCAAGCCAAGTGAATATCCCCAAGTCAAAAAAACAAACAGGTTCCATCCTGCTATTATTCCAATAGGCAGAACAGACCTCTCCTTTAGAAGAAGGTTCTGCACTTAGCCAAGCTGAGTGGTAAGACACAACCCATTCCCCATAATGCCCATTAGACAAATTGGTCCTTCCCCTGCCAGACCTCTCCCAAGAAGTAAAATGCAAGGTGCTCACATTTGAAATGAAGGCTGGCTCACTTTAAAACAGGGAGCCAGTTATAATAAAGTAGCTGTCAGCTTTGCATGGGAGATGGCTGACTGCCAACTTAGCTCAAGCGGACACATTGTTAGTCAGTGTTTGTGTGTTTTTGATTTGACACAATTGAGAAGTACCTGCACCTGCATTAGAAGATACGCACCCTGACAGGCGATGGACTTGGTGTAGGACTCTTAGCCTTCTTTGCAGGGGCTGGAGGAGACCAGTGAGCAGAAGGTGACCTAGACTGAGCAGGAGATGGAGGGGCTTGAAGTTTCTTGGGGGGTGGCTCAGGTGATCCTGACACAGACCTGGATGAAGATTCCCTTCTTGCAGAATGCGGACTCGGCGTGGAAGGCCTTAGAAAGACAGTGGGACATTTTGTGAAAATGTAGCCAGCTTAGCAGAAGTCACAGCCTCTGAACAAGAATTAACAGGCTATAATACTCCATGTGGTTTACTGATCCTGTGTATAAAAGGCTGATGTAAGATCATAAATGCTTTTTGCCCTTACATAAAGAAGCAACGCCACTGACATGCAACTCTAAGCTGCTTACTCTGCATTCCTCTATCCCACCCCTCCCCACCCAAGTTGAAAACTGCCCACCAAGAAACCCTCTATTCCACCTCAGAATTGTGCAAAATTAAGTGTACAAATATATAGCTTTGTCTTCCAAATTTTTATCCCTCCCTTCCTCCAAAGGGCAGAAGGGAAGGGGGATTATGTTTGCTCACCCCTCCTTTTATTCTCACAAACATGTGACATGAGTTAAGCTAAAAGAAATGAAATGGCCTCTCCAGGGAAAGCTTTGTGGCTGAGGGAGGATTCCAAACCAGACCTCCACATTCATGGTCACGACATTCTGGCCACCACACCAGCTTAGAACATGCTGTGTGTGCAGGCTCTGTTCTTGAAGTCTTATGCTGAAATCAAAGCCTCAAATCTAGTTCTCTTTCTATTCTCCCCACACCACCATGCCATCTGGACTGCCCATTGCAAATCAAAACTAATTATATTAGAACTGTTTTGGTGCAGCTGCTTTAGATGCTTCCAGTATGCTTGCAGGGGCCTCAAATACGAAACATAGGGAAATGGTTTGCATGATGCCTGTCCCAAGGAGAATTTTTAAGTTAGAAAGTAATATACATACCCAGAAAAATTTGTTAGCAATAAGCTTGGCACTATCATTCTAGGCTGCTCAGGGCATATTTTATGCTGCTGTTATATCCTGGCTTGTTTTAACAGTGCTGGCTTTTGTTTCTATTAATCCCTGTGTTGTTAATGGTTTTTTATTAATTAGTCATAAGCCTCTTTGAGCAGGTGTCTACAGAGGCAGCACATAAAATTTTTAAATAGACACATAAAATATGACATGAAACCTCATCACAAATATCAGGTATTATTTTTACACGAAAATGATTTGAGACAGTCTTGGGATATGCACATCTCAAATTTCCCTTGATGGACTAACCCCCACCTATCTTCTCAACACCCAAGGGAGTTCTACCAGTCAGGGAATCTTACTTCTTTGACTTCTTGGGCTCTGGGGTCCTTGACACTCTCCTGATAGGCCTGGTGCTTGGAGATGGAGACAGCCGCCGTGGAGGTGAAGATGAAGGTCCCCTGCGTAGTGGTGGGGGACTTGAAGAGGTACGGGAAGGCCTGGGCCGTGGGGATGGTGAATGCCGTTTGTTCTGCAGGGGGGAGCGGGCTTCCCGGTTAGACCTGCTGGGTGGGGATCCTTTCCTGTGCTTGGAAGATATGGATGGCGACCGTCTCTTGGGAGGCGGAGAGCTTCTTTGTTTTGGTGGGGGAGATCGAGAGACTCTGAGCTTCGGCTGTGGAGAAGGAGACGTCCTTCGCTTGGGCGGGGGAGAAGCTGTTCTTCGCTTTGGTGGTGGTGAAGGGGAATATCTTCTTTGTATTGGAGGAGAATATCTTCTAGGTGTGGGAGAGTGCCGGCGAGGAGGTGGTGATGGAGACCTAAACAATACAGGAAAGAAATTTTGAAGATGTGACAATGAAGCTTTCCTGCCTCCCCTGTCCCACTGATCTTGTTGCTCCACGGGAACAGGGGACCTTGAAGAATGAAATGGAAGGGGGGTGTTCTACATCAGAAACAGCAGAATTTCCTAATTTTGTACGTATGGATCCAACCCAATTGTTCTAAGTACCAGAGGCACCTTCAACCAGCTACATTTCTGCTAAAAGATGTTTAAATGATGTGAATTCTCATGGCTACAATACAGCAACAATGTTACCTTCGGCGTGGTAAAGAAGGTGACCGGCGCCGTCTTGGAGGTGGGGCTGGAGAAGGAGACCGCCGTCTTCTGGCTGGAGGTGGTGAGGGGCTTCTCCTCCTCCTACTAAACAGAGGAAAACAAGCTCAGCAGACTTGCACATCTTTCAGGTTCTAGGCATGACTGCACAGTGGTGCACTGCTAAGCAAGGCAATCTCAGAGCACCCACCAGCCCCAACCCCATTATTCTGTGGTCTAACCATCTCATGAGGTTAGTATGATTCTGCCACAGTTATGGTTCTGCAAAGCTCTCAACAAGCCTTTACAATGGGCTGGTAAATAGCTATTTGCCTGGATGGCTATGCCAAGGAAGAATCCCCTCACAAGTGGCCAGGAAAGGAAACTTTAGAATGAAGCAACCAACTTCTGTTAGCTGACATACTGTGGCAAGCACAGGTTTGTGTGGACAAGGAGGCTAGTAACAGTGCTTGAGTGTCTATACCTTTTGCTAGACTGCTTCTGCAAGGATCATCTGTCCAGCCACCAGGCCCCTCTTTCCTGCCATTTTTATACAACGCGCAACTTCAGCTTTTGCGACAGATCCATGTCACATTGTCAATTCAAAGATGTAGCAACAGCAACAACACTGACTAACCCAGCTCAGACCAAAGAGTCACCATGTTTCCAGAACAATTCCTCAAGGAAAACTGCTGCACTGGACCAGTCCTGAGAGCACTACTCCTTCACTGGCATAGAACCCCAAAAGAAACAGATCAGGAAGCCTAAGCCTTCCTTGGCAGTTGTGAAAACAACCCAACCAACTACACAGAGAAATCCATCTAAATAAGGGATATGACTATACTGGATTTGTCGGTCTAGTCAAATACTTGGGTAGACTTCGAACCTCAGGTCCATTTTCAGTCCTAACTTGGTTGTATGCGAATCTCAAACTGGCCTTGATGTCTGTAGTCATAGGGCAGAAGAGCGCTCTAAAAAACAACATGCAGCCTTTTTCTTTTTTACTGCACTAAAATCCAAAATGGCCAGCTTGTTACCCTTTCACAGAACACTTATGCAAACCTGAAAAACCCAGATCACAGAAACATGCCAAGGCCCAACAACCTGAAACCATGGGCTCCTATGGACACAAGAGCAGCTGGAGTTCAGGGAGTTCAATTAACTCACTTGTTGAGGGAGCAACAACAGTAACCAGGCTCCTGGCCCAGCTCAGTTGAGCCTTAGTTGAGCCACATACTCAACCTTTTCAATTTTAAGTAATTCAAGTTAATTACTTTAAATGGAAGAGTAATTGACCGGACTTTCATGAAATCAAGACTAGACTACTACAACAAACTCTGCAAGAGGTGTCTTTGAAAAGTGTCCACCCTCCAAAAAGTGCTTGGAAAATGACAACTGGTTCAGAACATAGAAGCTAGACCATTCAGAATTTAACATTCAACAGCTCCCCATCAGGTTTCTGGGACCCATTCAAAGTGCTGGTTTTGACCTTTAAAGGCCTAACAAGGCTGGCCATGGATACCTTCGAAACACCCTCATAAGTCTGCCTTTAGGCACTAAATCAAGGCTTCTGGAATACCTCAATATAAATTGCTTGCCCCTATCATCTAATTCAGAGTTGACCCTTTTATAGCTATTTATGTGATTTTAGCATGCATTTTAGTTCATGATGTTTTCATAGCTACCCAGCCAAAATCCTTTGATTAGCACTAAGCTTTATCTAAACTGTGCATGCTGGGAAAAGATCCCAACACCCTAAACAGATCTTGCAGTGTTGTAAAGAACTTAGGTGACTCGGGGGGGAAGAAAAGTAAGATGCCTGAAACAGGATGCATTAGTAATAACATTATGCTACAGTGTTATGACTTTGTAAAAAAGGTCCACAACTAATTTTGCGAAAATACAGCAGCTATCTTTAAAAAAAAAAGAGTTCCCATTGTTTTACAGATTGTCCAGATTCCTCTTAATGCCTAAACGTTTAGTGACTAAAAATGGCAGTCCATTTCAAGATCTCAAGATAACTATTTCTGATTTTTATAGAGGCAGCTAGCTTAGCTTCAGGAATCAAAATCAATTTCCAACTTTAGTTCCATGCATATTTGGAAAACATGTACTATAATGGGCTGTATCTGCTAATTCAGTTACCCGATTTCTCTCTACCTCTTCTGACAGATGCACCCGTGGCAGACACTGATTTGGGAAATCTCCTCAGTCCCCTAGTACACCTCTCTTTTTCACAAACAAAGGGATGGTTGTGGTGAAATCAGTGACGAGTGCATACTTTATATAACTTGTCCTAATTAGCAGATTCATCTGCTAACTAACCTTTTTACAATTGGCGACTGCCACCTCTTTCCCATCTGCATCCTGACAGCAGTTGAAGAAAAAGAAAACAAGAAGTCAAAACATCCCAAAAGGTTACTTGGCAGGATGAATTAAGCAGGCAGAAAGTCACTAAATTAGAATTTTCAGCAACTGGGTAATCCCTTCATGCTGGCTCAAGAAAAAATTTCTTTCTACAAGACCTAATGACTGAAATCAGCAGATAACATTGAACCGAATGGACAGGAACAGTGGAACTTGGTGTTTCGCAGGAAAGGGGTAGCATAGCATGTTCTAAATTTGCAGCAAGCAAGCACTGCTTTCACTTTTACTTCCCATCCCATCTAGGTCTTAAAGCCAATAGGCTGTTTGACCAGAAAAAAACAGCAATAACAAAAAAGTTATTGCTGTTCGATATTCATTTAACAAACAATGTTTAATTGCAGCAGCTATATATATACTTTTACTTCCAACCTGTGCAGTAATGGAGTTCAGCAACAATGGCAGAGCCAGTGTGGTGTAGTGGTTAAGAATGATGGACTCTAATCTGGAGAACCAGGTTTGACTCTGTACTCCTCCACGTGAAGCGAGCTGGGTGACCTTGGGTCAGTCACAGCTCTTTCAGAGCTCTCTCAGCCCCCAAAATAAGTCTAGCTCACCACCTAGTGGTGCATGATGCTAATGAGCTAGAATTTAAGGCTGCCAGACAATCTTTGGCTCTCCTGGCTATATTACATACAATGCCATACGACAATTATTATTATTAGCAACAATGGTACAGTTACAGGTAACTTGATAATTACTAACAGTTGACAACCTATGCATACAAAATGGAAAGGAAGTTACCGAGGGGAAGAATCTTTCTGCCATTTTCGTGGAGAAGGAGATGGGCTGCGGGAATGAGAGTGCCGTCTGCGCCTGCCCACTTCACCATTCTTTACATTTGACTTTTTTAGCCGTTCCTCTTCAGAGGAAGATGATGAGCCAGAATCTGTAACAAAATGGAAGGCAAGTGTTAAAATGCAACAAAAACATGATGCCCGATTCACTGTAGTGATCTTTTTTTAAAAAAGATCTCTATGAAGCGGCTATTTTTGTGTTAAGTTGGGCTTGTCTTCCAAAGACTTTCTGAAAGCCACTGGGTACAAGGGAGAATAGTGAGTTTCTCAAACTCTGTCATGAGCTTCCAAAGTCAAAATGAAAAAATATCAAGCTGTTTCTAGGAATAATTGAGGGGGAATGCACATAATGCCCATAATTCTCTTTCTGTCATTGATTAACAGTTTGATAGCAGACATATATGGTCTATTTTCAGACATGTTTCCTTTCATCCCCCTAACGTTTTAACATGCATGTAAGGGAGAGATTTTATGGTGTAATGTCATCTAGGCCACACTGCCCCACATACCATTAAATGGCTTTCAAGCAGTCATCTAAGTTCAATTCACATAGGAACTTCCTTCCATTAACCACCAGCATCCATTATTTCCCGAGATCAAGAAAAAGCCAGCTTGCCAACTGTTGCTTTTTTCTTAAAGTAAAAGTAGCAGGCAAAATTATCATTTTCACCAAGAAATAGAACCAGCCAGTTTGGTGTAGTGGTTAAGTGCGCGGACTCTAATCTGGGAGAACCGGGTTTGATTCCCCACTCCTCCACTTGCACCTGCTGATGTGACCTTGGGTCAGTCACAAGCTCTGGCACAGCTGTCCTTGAAAAAGGGCAGTTTGTGTCAGAGTTCTCTCAGCCCCACCCACCTCACAGGGTGTCTGTTGTGGGGAGGGGAAGGGAAAGGAGTTTGTAAGCCGCTCTGAGACTCAAAGTGAAGGGTGGGGTATAAATCCAATCTCTTCTTCTTCTATATTAGATAATGGCCCGCAGAGCCAAATGGACCCAGTGCAGCTTCAGGCGGCTCTACAGGATCCTAAGCCCCCTGGCATCTCGTTAGATGAGCTTGTAGAGGACGACTCTCGACAGCCATCAACGAGATTGCTCCCCGGTGCCCTCTGCGCCAGGCCCGCTTCATGGTTTACCCAGGAGCTGCGGCTGATGAAACAGGGGGGCTGAGACGGCTAGAGAGGCAGTGGCGGCAAGTTCATGACGAAGCTATAAGAGCATCCTATAGGACGTTTATGAGATCCTATGAGATGGCAGTCAAGGCCGCAAAAAGAGCATCCTATAGGACGTTTATGAGATCCTATGAGATGGCAGTCAAGGCCGCAAAAAGACAGCACTATGCAGCCACGATTGCGTCCACAAGCTCACGCCCAGCCCAATTGTTTAGAACAATTCAGTCTATCACGGCTCTGCCACAAGGTAGACTAAACCATAGGGAATTGGATATTGGCTGTGGGGCTTTTGTGAGCTACTTTGCGGATAAAGTCTTGTCGCTCTGCCGTGACCACCCAGCCAAAGTTGATACAGTGAATGAACTTGAGGCTCCTAGCATGTCTTCTGGTCACATTCTGGATTATATCAACCCGCTGAGCCTAGAAGAAGTTTACAGATTGCTCTTAACAGTACACCCTACTACGTGCTGCCTGGATCCGTGCCCGTCGTGACTACTGAAAGCGGCCCGAGAGGGGCTGCGGGAGGCCATGCGGGAGATTATCAACAAGTCCCTCTTAGAGGGACAGTTCCCGGGGGCACTTAAGCAGCCAGTGGTGCGCCCCCTCTTGAAAAATACATCTTTGGACCCAGCCAAATTGGCCAACTTGTCCTATTTGGGCAAGATAATAGAGAGGGCAGTAGCACTTCAGTTACAGAACTTTCTGGATGACGCTTCTATTTTAGATCCCTTCCAGTCCAGCTTTCACCCTGGTCACAGGACGGAGACGGCACTGGTCGCCCTCACAGATGACCTCCATAAGCATCTGGATCAGGGCAGATCGGCAGTGCTGTTGCTGTTAGACCTGTCGGCTGCGTCTGACACTGTCGACCATCAGCTACTGGTCCATTGCCTCGCCGACACTGGAATTCAGGGACTAGCCTTACAGTGGCTTGTTTCCTTTCTCTAGGGCCAGGGACAAAGAGTGGCGCTGGGGAATCAGCTGTCCCGAAGGCACCCACTGGAATGTGGAGTGCCACAAGGGGCGGTGTTGTCCCCCATACTTTTTAACATCTATATGCGCCCTCTTACCGAGATTGCCTGGACGTATGGACTGGGTTGTCATCAGTATGCGGATGACACACAGCTTTATCTGCTGTTGGGTGACCGATCCGACTCCAGACCGGAAGTATTAGACCAGGCGTTACAAGCTGTGGCTGGTTGGCTTAGGCTGAGCTGGATGAAATTGAATCCGACGAAGACAGAGGTCCTGTGCCTGAGACACGGCGGTCCAGGGGTAGGGATCCCACTCCCAACCTTTCATGGGGTGCCACTGGTGACAGCACCAGAGGTTAGGAGCCTGGGGGTGCTCCTGGATGCCAAGTCGGCCTTTCACCATCTTCGGCTAATTAGGCAGTTGGCTCCCTTCCTCGGAACACTGCGACTTGGCAATAGTGATCCATGTGATGGTCACCTCGAGATTGGATTACTGTAATGCCCTCTACATGGGGCTGCCCTTGTCGCAAATCCGGAAGCTGCAGCTGGTGCAAAATGCTGCGGCCAGACTGCTAATGGGACTCTCAATCCGGAAGAACATCCAGCCTGTGCTAAAGGCCACTGGCTGCCTATAGAATATCGGATTCACTTCAAGGTGCTGGTTCTCACCTTTAAAGCCCTTTATGGCCAGGGTCCGACATACCTGAAGGACCGCCTTTCCCCATACATGCCCCGGAGAGCACTGAGTTCAGGGACCCAGAACCAACTGGCTCTCCCGAGTGTTCTGGGTCCCTGAGGCCAGTTTGGCAACAACTAGGGCCAGGGCCTTTTTGATGGAGGCTCCACTCTGGTGGAATGAGCTCCCAGAGGAGACCAGGGCCCTGCAGGACCTTTTACAGTTCCGCAGAGCCTGCAAAACGGAGCTCTTCCGCCAGGCTTTTGGACCCACCACCATCACCACCGCTAGTAGAAGTGTTGCTAACAATAACAATTGACAACCACAGTGGTAGCCCTGAGCCGTGGATCCCGGCATCTACTGCCCGTCTTAGCCTCCCCTAACTGAAGCAGACCAATAGAATTAAAGTTGTATTATTATTTATGAGAAATTGTATTAATGTAATGAACCATGTTTTATATATTGTGTGAACTTTTACTCTGCTGTAAGCCGCCCAGAGCCAGCCTAGGCCGGATGGGTGGGATAAAAATCGATAAATAAAAAATAAAAAATAAGGCAGCTGGGTTCTGAGAAAAGTTTGGCAAACTGTTGACACAAATGATGTATGCTTAGCAGTGAAAGGAAGCCATTTCTAACAGTGTGTGAAGTCTGTGCTGTGATAAGGTGATTCCATAGTGTGCACTTAGCAAAAGAACACAGATCATATGGCAAACAGCAGCAATCAGTTTCTGCCTCTGGTCATACATAAGCAAACTGGGAGGAAGAATGAATGGGATAAGAGCCACCTGAGCCCAAAAATGGATCCATATGGAACAAAAATCTTGCAAAAAACTTACCCTAAGATCCAACGTTATCAAGTCACAGAAGGAGTAGGCTGCACAGCTTCCAAAATGCCAATAAAGCAATACTGTACAACAAAGAGTGTGCCCCACCTTCAACAAACCATCTACAGGTCTCTATGGCAGTGCACCTTATATTTAAAGAGTCAGTAATATAAGATGCGGCTAGACCTGAAATATGTCTGCAAATCATAAATAGTAAGGATAGCTTTAGGATGAACTACCTTACCCATAGATACACTATGTGGACAGGTGAGCTCTGTCCAAATGTAGTGCGATGGGCCTTCCCGGCACATGTTTCTGCACTATGGGAAAACGAGGAAGTTACTCAGCCAACCCAGGTCACCAGCCACAGGACCCCAACCAGGCTCCACTTCTCCCACCGCCACCAGCAGAATAATTCTCACAGGTTTTATTCAGGCTGAGGATTTGTGCCCCCCAGGCTCCTCTCACATGTCGTCTCTTAAAACACCTTAGCTCCAAGTTTGTATCTGCAGAGGGGACCAAGTACCCTTAGGCAAGTGGTCTTTAGTTTTTCTTCCAACAACAGCAGTCTTTACTAGGGGTGTGAATTTCGGAATCCTGAACAGAAAAAAAATCCCAAAAAGACCTTTTTTCGGGGTTTTTTTGCTTTCAGGATCCCGAAATGGCCATTTCAAGCCTTTTCGGATTACCGAAAAACAGCATTTGGCGGCTTTAAACTTTAAAGGACGGCAGGGAAACCCCGTTTTCCCGCCGTTTTCCCCTGTTTTCAGGAGGGGGGAAGAGGGAACTAGACAGCCAATCACTGCAATGCATTTGCAAATGCATTGCAGTTTGCAAAACTTTGGAAATTTTTTGCAGGGCTGTTGTTGCTGCCACTAGCTTGCTCTTTCCCCAGGGAAGGAGCACTAGTGGCCAATAGGGTTTTGGCATCTGCTCTCTGGCCAATCACAGAAGGTGTTCCTTTTTGAAATCTTCTGTGTATGGCCAGAGAGCATAAAAGGAGCCAGTCTCCCTGGCTGACTCCATTGCTGTTCCTGGTTCCTGGCCCGCTGCTGACTGTTGGTGACAAGAGAGAGGGATTGGCTAGCCTTGGACTGGTTGGCAATTTCTGCTGCCCCTGCTGCAGTGCTGCTGCTCCTGAACCCCTTTTCCTGGCTTGGTTTGAAAAATATTAGGGCACTTCTTTAAAAAATCATCTTTGTTTTAGTGGTTTGGGCCTGGGGTTGGTGCCTAGGGGACCCGTGACAGGAGCAAATGTCTTTAAATTTAAAAAAAAGAAACTAAAAAAACCCCAAGGAATCATAGTCTTCGCTTACCCATCTAATATGAGACTCTCATAAGCAGCTTTCTTGTCACACACAGGGCAGATCCAGGTGGGTTTCTTCTCGTTCATTTGTAGATAGAGAGCAGCATCAAAGCACTGCAGGTGAGTACAAGTAACAGCCCTGCAGGGGATTGTCAGCCTCATTTTCCCCAGCTGGGGACCCGGCCAGACAGAAAGAGAAAAAAGGAAGGAGGAGACGAAAAAAGGAAGGAGGAGACACAGTTGGGAATCAGAGGGAGAAAAGAAATCCACTGTTAGAGTCTTGTAAGAATACCCAATTGCATTAAAGCCATGCCTTGCTAACGAAAGCATAAAACTGAGGCCTGTGCATAGCCCTTGGCCAATGAATTTCAGCTGGACTGGGTGGGTGGCTATCTCTAGCAACGTGCAAACTCCTCTTTCACCCTCCCCACACAAGGTACCTCACTCCTTTCCAGAAGGTTTCGGTCATAACTGTGACGTCCTCACTTATTGAGTAGACAGTTTTACCTTTAAAACCCTCTCTGTGTATCTAAACTTGGTAGATTTCTGCTGACACTAGGAATTAAACATTCCAGATCTCTCTCTTGGAAGAATGACCTAGGGTCTGGACACTTCAGAGGACTATGTGCCCCTGAGGAAGGACTATTCTGATTTCTGGGATGAGTTTAAACAAAAAATGATTTATTTAATAAAGAACAAAATAGGTTTCTGGCTAATTTGAACTGTTGCTGCTGAAAGGAACTTGTAAATATAACTGGCAAAGCACGGGGTCACAGTCTCTCAAACTCCCACTCAGTGTAGACACTCAGTCTAATCTCTCTCTCATATATATATAGCCACACAGGCTGCACTCTTTGTCTTATTCACACAGAATAGACTCAAAAACTCCCATAGTCACACAGACTATGCTCTCTCTTCAAACTTCACACACAGAATCACCTTATAGACACCCCTCCTCCCACACTCACAGTCATCAACCGATCACATCACATTTATCTCCCTCTATCACGCTTCTTAAAGTACTGCAGTCAAACTAAACATTTAAAGAAACACACACACCAAAACATGAAATCATTACAAAAATATTTCCCCGTTATTCCTATTGTTTGAGCCACTGCATGAAAAGGACGGTTCTACAAACAGCAAGCGAAGCCTCCTTGATGACCGGGGGGGATTGCAAAGTGGTAGCTGTCTTAGTGTGCGATAGAAAAATAAAACTCTGGGGCACTGAGGCACTGGGGTGTGTGTGTGTGTGTGTAGCAAAGTGAAAGCTTATTCGGGGGGAGGGGAAAGCTGCGGCTCTCCCCGCACCTAAGCGCAGGGCCACAACTGAGCATCCTGGCACCATTCCAACCTCTGGCCAGGGTGGTGCCGGCGTGAAGATACCGCGTGTGTCTCTCTTCGCCATCTTTAAGGATGCTTTTGGGGTGGTCCCAGCAGAGGTGCCTGTAGGTGCTGGCACTGGGCAGGGGTCTGCTGCTCAGGCAGTTCCTCCTCCAGCCATTGGGACTCAGCGGCAGGAGGAGGGGCAACAAGGGCAGTCCATGGGGTTGAGCTTTGGGGACACTCTGTTCTCTCAGGGCTCACTCCAAGGACTAAGAGGACTCTAGAGGAACTGGAGGAGGAGCTGGGTGACCTGCCCACTCCTCTGGTGCCTCAAGGCCTCAGCAGGCCTCCTGTGGGGGGGAGAGGAGAGGAGGCTGGGACAGGAGGAAGAGGAACAGATGGAGGTGGTGCACCCCAAGCACCTGCCATCTCAACCCCTTCCCCCTGCTCAGTTTTCTCTTCCTGCCTCTTCAGGACACGATGTGTCTGGCCCGAGCCCCTCACAGAAGGAGGCTCTGGGGAAGCCCATGGCCGCTGGTCGGCATGGGTGTTTCTTCACCTCTGGGGTCTGGAACCACTTCCAGGTCATCTCAGAGAATCCCCGTTCTGCGCAGTGCCAGCTGTGTAGGGCCCAGGTAAGTCGAGAGAAGGACATTGCCCATTTCTCGACCTCTGGGGTTCGAAACCATCTGAAAAAGCACCACCAGGCGGTGTTTCTTCAGGAGAGACAGGCTGCTGCTGGGGTGCGCAGGCGACCACCACCAGCCAGCCAGGAGGTGAGTCATCCGACCACCTCCAGCACTCCCCTTGCGCGTTACGAGGTAGGGACGGGGCAAGGACGCCAAACATCTCTGACGGAGATGTTTGGCGACGTCGGCACTTGAGTGCCTAGGGGTGGGAAGCAACAAGCCAGCAGGAAGGTCACTCGCCTTCTTGCTGAGATGATTGCCATAGACGGGCGCCCCTACTCCGCAGTTGAAGACATCGGTTTCCGCAGGGTGCTCCAGTATGCCTTTCCCTGGTGCACGACCCCTGCTCACACCACCATGAGCAGGACCGTGATGCCCTCATTGTTCAGGGCTGCCAGGGACCACGTGAAGGCACACTCGTCCCACGCTCGTGGGAGATATGTGCACTTCACGTCCGACAGAGCAACTGGGCCTGAAGCGCATTCCCTGTGCGGCCCACCTTACCCACCTCGTGGTTAAGGATGCTCTGGGGTTGGGTTCTACAAAGGATCCCAATCTGGACACTGCGACTCATCACGAGTCACTTCTCACACAGTACGAAGGACCTCTATCTACTGCACGAGAAGCAGGCGCTGGCAGGCCTGCCCGGAGCAGGGCCTCCTAGGCGACGTCTCCACTTGCTGGAACTCCACCTGCGTCATGCTTGAATGCTTGGTGGAGCAGGAGAGAGCCCTGACTGCCCTGATCTCTGAGAGTGGGGTCATTCAGGAAGAGAGCCGGCTCAACCGCGAGGAGTGGTTGACCATCTCTTAGGCTGTGGAGGTTCTTAAGCCCTTAAAGACCTTCACAGAATTGCTCTCGTCTGACATGGGCTTGGCTTTTGTCATCCCCATGGTCCTCGCGGTCCATGAGGAGTTGGCATCGTTTCTGAAGTCACCTGCAGGACGTGCAGACATTCTTCCAGCGGTGTGCGCCCTGGTGAGGCTGCAAAGTGCACTGCAGAGGCGCTTTGAGCCTATCCTCCAGGACAGGATCTACATGATGGCGACCATGTGTGATCCGCGCATAAAGGGCAAGATCGCCGAGCGGGCCAAGATGGGAACGTCATCAGGAGCTGCGGGAGGGGAGGATGCCAGCACCTCGAGTGCTGTTTATCCTCCACCTCCCCTGCTAGGCAGCGCCCCCTCATGGCTCCCGCCACCACGAATCATGAGATGGCATTCATGGGGCGGATCCTTGGCCCCTCTGGAAGCGGAGGTCACACAAGAGAGGACACGGCGGCTGCAATGGTGAGGGATTACCTCGCGGAGCCCTACGAACCGGAGTGAGTCCACCTGTCCGCTTAGCTACTGGGCCATGAAGGAGGCGGTCTGGCCGACCCTCTCTGCTGTGGCCCTGAAGCTACTCCCGTGCCCTCCGACGAGCGTTCAGAGTGAACGCGTCTTTTCCCATGCGGGCGACATTGTCTGCCCGCATCGCTCACGCCTGAGCCCCTGGTCAGTTGAGTAGTTGGTCTTCCTGAAGGTCAACTTGCCACTGTTCGGTTTCCCGGAACTAGACTATGAAGATTGAAGTGAGCACATCCTTGTGCCTGCAATCCTCTCTTGGTCTGTGCTGGGAATTTGGGCCACGTTTGGGCCACACTCTTCCCATGATTAAAACTAGATGCTAGGGCAAAGTAGCAGCCAGGGCCATGACCATTTTGATTGCCCCACCAATCTCCCCACTTCCATCCATCCCACCTGCAGCAGAAATACCTCAACAGACCCTGTGGTTACCATGCAGTGCAGGGTGATGTTGAGGGTGGTGCGTGTATGCACCTAAGTTCCACGGCCAGCAGCCACCCCAAACCAAAATTGCATGCTGAAAATAATTAAAACGGCATCACACTAATTGTTCTCCAATGGTAGAGTAGGGTAGAGGCCACCAGCAACGACACACACAGGAGCACCATACTGTAAATACATGTTGTGTGCACTGCAATGGTCCCTGGAGTCTAAGCTGTGGAATCTTGTGAGCTACTGGAGTGAGTGATTTGGCTACTGCATAAGTAAGTTTGCTCTGGAGGCATCCTTCCTGCCTAAGATGAAAAGTTGTGAGCCGACGGAGACTAGAAAACTGTGAGCTGGCTCACACTAACTCAGCTTAGAGGTAACATTGGTTCTATTTGGGTTCCTCTGGCCTCCATTTGCCTCTCTTAATGTGCTGAGTGGGGAATCGCACACCCCTAGCTGATTGCTCACTTGCACAGGTCCTGCCTGCCCCCCCCCTTCAGTTTATATACTGCAGAAATCCTCTGGTTTGACCTGAGTCCAGTTGAATTTCGGCAGCAAACCGGCAGTAGGCAGGCAAGGCAGCACGCTGATCTGGGGGTACCCTCTTTGGATGCCCCTGGAATTAGACCCCCTGGACCAATCTTCTCAAAACTTTGGGGGTCGTTTGGGGAGAGGCTGGAGCAGCCATGGTCCAAATTTGGAGCCTCTACCTAAACCCCCCCCCGCAAACTTTCCAGAGGATTTTTGCCATTTTCAATGGCCCCATTGTATATAATGGACCCGAATTTTTCGGGTTTCCCAAAAATTTTCGGATATCTATGCTTCACCGGTATAGATATTTGGTGTTTTGCGGGTTTTCCGAAAAAATTCGGGTTCAATAAACCCAAATCCGAATTTTACCGAATTTTTTTTTGCACACCCCTAGTCTCCACCCCTAACAGCTATGCTATTCATCCCTTGTTCCAAAGCAGAAAACCTAAAAGTCATGCCATTTAAGTTTCTACTGAGTCTGCAAACAATTCCAGAAAGCATACTTTGGTATCAAACACCAGACAGAAAGCCTACTGGCATGGCACATAAAGAAACCTGACTTAACTATAGGTCTGGAACAGAAGCTATTTGAAAACAACTCATATTAGTAAAATAGGGTTCTGTGTTTTTATTAAAAATAGCATCAAGACTGCTATCTTAAGCATGCTTGCTTGGGACTAAGTTCCACTGAATGAAACTGAACTTTTCCATGCAGGCCTGCATATATAGGGTCTGACTGTAAAGGTACAAAATACTCTACCTGATGAAGACTGCTGGTTCTGCCTTCTATACTGTCGTCTTTGTTGCACAGAATCTGCAGCTGCCATTTTGCCACCCTTGTCATCTTCTGAAAAGCATGTAAATTGAAAGAACATTGGAAACTATATTCAGATCCAATTCTTTACATCAGTAATTCAGAATGCAGCCCATGTTCACAGAGCGAGTTAAAGATGCGTCCTCACATAACCACTGTTTACTTCTTACAAGTCCCTAAACTATGCACTGAAGCCCTGCTAACCCAGTTGCATTCACAGAAGCATGCAAGTTGCTTTTATTTTAAACAGTTCAATAAAACTCTTACCTGATTCTGACAGTTCTACTTTTCTCGTCTTCGGTGCCGGTGAGGGAGATTCCCTTTTTTCAGTACTTTTATGTTTGGCTGCTGGGGGGTAAAAAGCAACAACAGAACTTTAAGGAAGATCCAAGGAAAGATTGACTGTGTATCTCATCACTTAGGTAGTCCTTGATGTGTGGAAGGAGAAGGAGGAGATTGGATTTATACCCCGTCCTTCACTCAGAGTCTCAGAGTGGCTTACAAACTCCTTACCCTCCCCACAACAGACACCCTGTGAGGTAGGTGGGGCTGAGAGCTCTTTTGAGAACTGCTCTTTCAAGAACATCTCTGACAAAACTATGGCTTGCCCAAGGTCATCCAGCAGCTGCAAGTGGAGAAGCAGGGAATCAAACCCAGTTCCAGATTAGAGTCCGTGCACTTAACCACAACACCAAAATGGCAACAAGTATGCCCAGAGTATTAGGAAGAAAAGCATATCCTGCAGAAGCCTGTTCTAGAGACCTTGCTGGAGGTACACTTCCACCCTGAGGTGCAGTGGAAGATGATGGCTTAAGGCATTCTCTCCCTATTAAGATTCTCTCTTTCTCTCTCTTTCTCTCTCTTTCTCTCTCTCTCTCTCTCTCTCTCTCTCACACACACACACACACACACACCATTCTCTACCTGTGCTTAAGCTTCAAGTGAAGACCTGGGATTGGATCCCATGGATCCATTCTACTAAGGAGGACACTTCTTTTTGGTGAAAGACTCCTTATGCTAGTGGAAGTACCAGTGCTAGCAGAACAGATCCACAGAATCTGACCCCTGGTTATTTGCTTTTGGCTGAGTTATTAAGGTTCAGTTATAATTGTGGACTCTGTCAGGCCAAGTTAAATGTTTAGTCTGCTACTAACATTTGGGAATGATTTTTTTGGATTATTAGCACATTAATAAATCCTTCCTGTTGATATTCTTGGCCTGTAAAATTTTAACTGTTGTTTGATATCCCAGAATTTAAACAGTGGTCATCTAACATTTAATTATAGTTTAAACGATTTTACAGTGACTGTTTCACTATGCTGAAAGCAGCTCTAAATGTTAGAATAAAAAGGCCTTGGATTGTTTCTAATGGATGTTCATCATGGTCTGATGATTTGCAACATGAGAAATCACGTAATTGTGGAATGATCGCTTTGAAACTTAGTATGTAGTGGAAAGATGTATTTGGCCTCACCCCTCTCGATAGGCAAGACTTTTCAGAGGTCTCCAGCCACAAGACAGAAAGAGCTACATGAAAGAAGCATTCAGCTGTCAAAGAAACCTAAAGAAATAAAATTTATTTGACCTCACCTGATGTTCTGCTGGGAGAAACTGAGCCTCGGGCCTTTCTCACACGAATTGACTGCTGAGGTGTTGGAGACCTGCGTGGCTTTGGGGGTGGACTTGGAGGTGGGGATAGCCTGTGCCTTCGCCTAGGAGGACTTGCAGAAGGAGACAGTCTACGTGTTTTACGAGGAGGGCTGGAGACAACCCTCTTAGGTGGCTTTTTTGGTGGAGATCGGGAACGTGAAGAGGAAGAGGAAGAACTGCTTCCTGACAAAGATGCTGACGACCGCCTCCTCCTGCAAAATTCAAGTTGTCATTAAGTATGCACTGACTAAGCACAGTTAGATAGCTTACGTTGCCCTGTGTCATCACAAAGATAATTGGCTTCTAACCACATTACTTTAGGAACTATTTCAAGATCAACCTCCCCCCCAAAAAAAGTTTAGTAGATTATTTTTGTCCAACTTCATTTTAAACCTACAGAATACAAGCAATTTTGTATTTCCTCAACTACTGTTTGTGATAGAGGTTTTCAATAGTTAGAGGAGCAGAATGGCTCAAAACTGTCCTTTCCAAGGGACAGAATGAGTGGATTTCAAAACTTCTAGTTTATTGACTTCCTTAACTAAAGTGATTAATCTGAAGATAAACACACACACTGTGGCCAGTTCTGTTGCCATCACTGCAGACTTCATAACAATTTTAAAAAAGAAACCCCAGAGCAAGTTGTATCACTGTTCCTTGTCTTAAACTTTCAGCACACCCTTAATTAAAAACAAGCTCAAGAAAGCCTCAACATCCAGTTACGACTCTTGTCAATAAATATTCAGCTCCCAATCCAGCATGTGTATACATTACGGTAATGTTAAACAGCATGACACAATCAGATTAGGAAAGTGGGTCCATGCTAGTTAGTGCACTGGTTTACAAGGTGAATTCCAGGCAACCCTGGCATTCTCTGGAAGCCACTGGCAGTCCCTCAACAAAAAAATCAGCAATAGAGGACAATCCCCATTCGTGAAGCCTGTATGAAGCTTCCTGGAGTCTGCATGAACTGTGCTTGCTAGCACACATCCACACTTCTCATCACTGCACAATCACTGCGTGGCAGGCAAGTTATGTGGAAAAGGATTTCTGAGAACAGGAAGCCTGAAAGCTGCGGCAGTGGTGTCAGAAACCTAGCCTGTATGATTCTAAGAAAAGACTTTGTAGAAATACGTAAGAGCACCTTAGCAATAGAGATGATACGAAACTGGGTCTTAGAAGGAATTTAAGACATTCCAAGTCGAAACAAATCACTGCCCCTCCAACCTAATACATTTTCGTTTTTCACATCATTGTGGTAACAGAAAATTCCATACCTGACTTTGAGAGGAAGATTCAGAAACAGTTATGCTTAATAGATCTGAATCTTTTTTGTCAAAACTGACCACCTGAACATCATGTTTAGGGCCTTTGGAACTAAAAAGTTGAGGTTTTTTTTACTCTTGGAATGACACAAAAAGAATTTGTCCATAATGCTTATTCCTTGATCTTTAATGTAAGCGCTTTCTAGAAATGAAGTCTCCACATATACAAGTGAGTGAATCCATGTTTGTTAATGAATTGCAAAATGGCTGTGAAGTGTTGGGTAACAGGAAGATATCTCCCACCCCACACCCTTCCCCTGAAGTTTTTGTGTCATTCTGCAATCAAAGCTTCATGAAAAGTAGCAATGGTTTGTGTACACTTACAAAGTCAGAGTGTTTCTTCTTCTCTTTCCCCCCAAGCATCTTATGAGCCCAAGGAATCAGTACATTAGCACCGTCAAATATTCCAGCATCCTTTGGTGACTCTTGCTTTTAAATTAGCGATTCTTACCGCCTCACAGGAGATCTGCTCCTTCTGTGCCTGGGTGGAGGTGGAATGCGTCTTGGTGGGGATCTCCTCCGAGGAGAGGGGCGCCGTCTTGGGCTGGGCCGTCTCCTTGGTGAATAAGACCTGTCAATACAATCAATGAATACTGAGATAATTTCCTGACTTACAAAGTTACTCAGGCTGAGATCTGGAAGTCTCCAAAAAAGATTCCATACTTGTAGGGCAGACAACACTAAACTATATGCTACTGCTACAAAAAAAAAATCAGTGCTACAGAAGTAATTAAGGTCCAATACACAAGTGTGTGCAGCACAGTTTGAGCTTGATGAGATGATTCTGGACTGTTCTACGACCAACTCAACCCAAACCACATGGACAGAAACCAAAATACAGTTCTTTACCATGCTCAGGCATTACTATGGGATCTCTGGAGAAAAAAAAAAGACTTAACTAATAGATCATGACCACAATGGAAAAAAACAAACATCCTCAAAGGAATATCATCTTTATTAGACTCCATGCATTTAAAGTTTTTGTATCAGAACACCAAATGACCAAGGAAGATGGCATATGTTAAAACAAAAAAAAGTTATTTCAGATCCTCTAACCTTGATCGTGATCTATGACGCCTTCTTGGTCTTGAATGAGACTGAGAGCGCGAGCGAGATTTTGACCTTGACTTGGATCGGGATGGAGTCCTTTGACGATTCTTCTCCTTTTCTTTCTCTTTTTCCTTCTTTGAAACTTTTTCTGGAGATATTTCTTTAGTATCTGGCATAGGCTCAATTTTAGGTACTTTCAAGATATCACTGTCGAAATTGAAATTTTAAAGTTTAAAACCATGGTTTACAACTGAGTTAACAAAAAGAATTCCTACTATGGCTGAGATAAGCACAACTTGACAGATATGCCTGCAAGTGTTCCTCAACTCCATTCTGCATCGTAGCGAAGAACTCGCAATCTTTGCATGCATGTGCCCTTGGGATCAACTCCCTACTGGATGATTACAGCTGAAGAAGTTCTCTGACACTATTTGGCTTCCATTTTCAACCCAATGTTTTCAAAGTTCACCAATGTCACAAGAAAAACTGCCTGCTAATCTTCAGTGTGTATTAAGTAATCTATATATCTAATAGCGAAGGCTAAATCCGCACATTGGGGGCACCTGGGGGGCAGGGAGATTTTCCTGCACACTTGGGGCAGTCTAAAAAGTTGAAAAAAAATATAGGGGGGATATTTAAATCCCCCTAAAAGTAAAAGAGCATTTCCTGCACATGCGCAGGGAACGCTCTGGGAACTCTGCAGTGGGCTGGAAGCTGGAAGCTGCTCAGGCCTCACCACCGGAGCCAAGGCGGGGGGAGAGGAGGAGGAGACTGGCTGCCGGAGGGAAGGAGATCGAGGGGGGGGGAGACTGGCAGGGCCCGGCGGCTGGAAGCCATTCAGGCCGCGCCACCGGAGCCAAGATGGTTGGGGGGAGGAGAACGGCCGCGGGAGCTGGAGGGGGAGGGAAGGAGACCGGCAGAGGGTGAAGGAGCGGGGGGGGGGGG